GTTATTAGTCGTTCCCCCCCCGACATGTTTCAGCTCTTCTTGTGTCAGCACATCCCTGACATTAACAGACATTTTTCCCTGAACTCCACCAACATTTACAAATAAGGATCTATTCATGAATTCAGCTGGCTTACCGTTAAAGTAATAAAGTTGCCAAATAGGACTGTGAACTCCCAAACAGGTTTTTTAAAGTAGCTGAACAGCCTCACTATGTTTCAGTTTTCCACCTCTCTTATTTTTCTGACTCAGGTATTGGCAGCAGGGGAGAGGGGCCTTGGTGTTACTTTCAGTGACTGAGTTAGGAAAGAGATAAATACACAGTGAGTGTGAAAGACAAATACAAAAGGCAGTGAAAGAAATTAGAAAAGTATTCTTAATTTTTTTATGTAACAAAACACGAGACCAACTTACTACTAAAATAGCACCTTAAATAAATAATAAATAGTCCCCCCAGAAGAGTATAAGATAAAGACAGATGATATGATGAGAGAGAGAAAGGGCTACAAATCATTGTACAATCTGCATTCAGCTATTGTGCAGGGGTACTTTGCCCGTGTGCTTTGTATTATCCTTGCATTTCATATATTTGTGTTAACGCTATTACTCCTGAGATTTAAATCATTTATAGGGTTTACGATAAACTGATTTCTCCACGACCCGAGTTTACATAATTCAAATAATAATGGGGATGTGTACTGACCAACCGGAAGCATTTTATCATTACCTGATAATAACAGAAGGGAAATGGAGGTACTTGGTTGGTGTGTCTTTTTCCTGTTGAATAAAGTACACACAGTACCTCATACTCGCAGTATGAGTTCTAACAGGAAACCCTGTAAAATGTAAAGATGCTGCATTACTAATAAATAAATAACAGAAGGGAAATGGAGGTACTTGGTTGGTGTGTCTTTTTCCTGTTGAATAAAGTACACACAGTACCTCATACTCGCAGTATGAGTTCTAACAGGAAACCCTGTAAAATGTAAAGATGCTGCATTACTAATAAACAATAATTAATTTATATAGCACTTGTCTTAAAAGTGCTTTACAAAAAAATAAATAAAACCAGACAAAGAAGTCTCTTTACCATTCAATCTGCAAATAATATGATAGACAATAGGATATGCTATGCAATGGTTTTTAAGCCCTTGCTCTGATTTGCATTCGCCATACAGAGCTAGGCTAACCTAACAAGCTTTTTTGTCCAGGTGGGATTTGCACTACTGAATTTATGTCAGGCAGCACAATTGCATGTAAGGTCAATGCAAAGACACAAGAGGGGACACACTCAGCTTGGGCATTGCAACTTGGGGCACGGAAGTGTCCGAGCTAGTTGAAAATGTTATAACTTGAGTAACAAATACAGAATCCTTCCAAAGCTTTAAGACTTTAATTTGTGAACATGTGGAGACAGAAGGAACACAGAGGAAGACTGGAGGAAGATAGGAGTTTCTGGTGAGATCAATCAGGCTGTGAGGACATAGACACACACACACACACACACACACACACACACACACACACACACACACACACACACAGCCAGTGTACCTTGCTAGCTAGCCACCGCTAACATCTGTACAGTCTGTACATTGGCTCTTCGTGGCAAAAAAAAAAAAAAATGTTTTACAGTCAAATTCATGAGGGTAAAGAAAGGCAAAAAAATTTCATTGTCTGCCTGAGCATGCCTTTAAACTAAAAACTTGGTGGTACACTTGTGGTACATAGGATGTACTGCAACAAAAAGGTCGTGAATTTATTTACCCCTCACACACATACACACACACACACACACACACACACACACACGCGCACACACACGTCATGTCATGCAATGCCCTGTAAGCAAAGGTATAGGAAAGTGATTGATACTGATTCTGACAAGAGGGGAGTATAAGCGAATTGGACTGAGCACACGCTGCCTCAAGCAGCACTATGGAAAAATGCTCGTGGTTTAATGCGCCCCCCTCCTCTTTCCTTCCCTACCTTGCAGAAACAAGACCATAAAAAAGTGCCCACTGTCTGACCCACTTTCCATGACAGACGTAATCTCCCTCCACAAACTTCAGCCTGTTTACCAGCACAGTAGAGAATAAGCCGGACAGGGAGGAGAATGCCAAGCTCTTCACACACAGTGGGGGGAAAGCTGCTGCTCAGCTGCGCCGAAGATTACACCCACGGATCCCCGCTGAGCTCAGCGGCCCTCCCTGATGCAACTACACACCACAGGCACGTGCATGCAAAAAGATAAATGCAAACAAAAAAGCAAAAGTCTCCTCTCGTGACGAACATGCTGTGCACATTATTAACGTTAAAAGGGTGCAAACACACACACAGCCGTCTGGCATGTTGTTGATTTCTTGGTATGATACTCAAACGTACTCACTCCACTGCGAGGTGTTAACCACCAACGGCTGGCATTATTGTTACAGCTTACAGCTTTTATATATTTCCATTGAATGAATATGCAATAAAAGTGGGTTTCCACACAGTTCACACTTAGCTCAGTCAACACAGCACAGCAGATACAATATAATGAGTAAAATGTTTGACTGGTTCCTTTAACTATTAGTTCAACTATTAACTATTAGTTTGCTGAAAAGTTAACCTCAAAAGTTGCCTGAAATAAATTCCTTCCCTCAAATTACTTCAAAGCTATATATGTATATTAGGGGCATTCAAGGGTTAGCTGAGGGGGTGGTGGGGGTGTTACTTGTTGTGCTGTCACGGTCTTTTGATCTTATGACCAGGATTTGGAAGTCACCTTCAGACACTTGTACACACTGCAGCACAGATTTTAAATTTTTCCTGAAAATGGATATAAACGCAAAAATAATGCTACTGAATCTAATTTTTAAAAGGTAAACTCTTACTATGCTGGAAGCCATATTTATTAAACTTTTATAATTCTGTTTTATGGTTGTACTGGATCACAAAACTTGCTCGGCCTAAACAAGACCACACAAAACAAAATAGAAATCTTTAAAAATAATTGATCAAATTGGGGTTATCGTTTTTTGTTTTGTTTTTTTGCTCCTGGACAGCAGTGATACAGCATCCAGCCCAGACCGAGACAGGGAGGCCTCTCTGTGTCCCCACAGACCGGGTTACTAAGGATACAGGCAGCACTGAGCTTCCATTAAGACATCAGAGCTCTCTCTGCGCTCCCGTCTGACACCATCAGCTCCGGTTTCCTCCCTGAAATTGAGACTCCAAACCATGCTGGAGAAAACACACACACACACACACACACACACACACACACACACACACACACACACACACACACACACACACACGCAGTCCGGCAGGCAACACACCCAATACAAATGTGCAAACACTTACACTCTACCCCTGTTACACAGCAAACTCTGTGTCCCAAGCACTTAACGCTAGAAGTTATCACCATTTATAGGACTGTGAGAATGCAGACTTTAAATAGTGTGCACAAAAATATAGAAAAGATTCTTCAGCTTTCTTTATAACAGGGCAGCACTGTTTTAGCAGGTATCCGTGTCGCAACTTGACCCTTGTATGGCTCTTTACAGCAGATCTGGCTCACTGTTATAGATCTTATATGGATCCAAAAAGTTCAGTGTAGCCTGTTAGACTAGTTATGTTTGCACAAAGCTGATGAACCTCAAATAGAGATGGAGTTGCAACAGTGTGCTTAACATACACATTACTTCTACTGTATGTTTGCTGCACTCTCTACCCGTAGCTCTATGTTTTGGAACCTTTCAAACACTTTAGTAGATCATTTCCTTTAGCAACACCTTCTTACAAATAGATTTAACTTTCAGAGTGCACAAAAAGTAGTTGTACTGTCTCATTCTCAACCAGCTGCTTTGCTTATGGAGCAGTTGCAGGAGGTTAAAGGCAAATTCAGCAAGTATGTAGTATGTAAATAGTTTCAGTATTAAATGTAGCTCTCCTTCTAGCATTGATACGCTGTACTCACTGCAGTCCTACTACATATTAGTCTTGATGGGTTAGTTAATGGGTAATAGTCACTGAAAGAATAAAACGGAGTGGCCACCACCATTGGCCAGCGTTTCACTGAAACTTAAGTTTCCTCATTAATCATCACACTGACAAGCAGACAATAGAAATAAGGCCTGTGGCAACTCAGTGGAGCAGATGGAGTTAATGCACGTCTGTCTTTACCATGACATTTCCAACATTGGGGAAGGGAAGTCAGCGAGATCCCTATCAGCAATCCAACAGCAACGCTTACCAGTAGAGAGTGAACAAAACAGAGAAAGAAAGACGGCAAGGAGGGTGGGAAACAAAAAAGAAAGAGAGAGGGAGGAAGTGGGTGAGAGAGACAGAGGCAGAATGACACGGGGAGATAGAGGGGAGGGGAGGGAAGTCATTAACTGGCAATCAAGCTTCAGTAATGGCAAGAGTCCGTGCATTTGCTTAATTCCTTATCAGGCAATGTTCCCTTTCTCACTCACTCACCCCCCCCAACCACCACCACCACCACCACCACCCCGTGACAGGTCAGCATGCAGACTGGAAGTGATGTAAACTAATACCTCCATCTCTGAAGCCACCACACACACACACACAAAGATACAGTCACTGCCACCAGAAGCTTTATCTTTACAGAGCGTCTGATTTCCACTGAGATACACACAGAGTCAAAACAGGTGCATGAGCATGTCTGTGTGTGTGTCTGTGTCTGTGTGTGTCTGTGTGTGTGTGTGTGTGTGTGTAGAAAACTTGACAAAGATAAGTACTTTGCAGCTGCAGCACAGCGACTGCCCTGTGATGACTTACCTGCCCAGTGCATGCACTAGCTAAACGGGGTGAGGTAGCGTTAATAACCGGTCAGTTCATGGTCACAGAGCCGGTGACAGGACAAAGCAGGTGACAGCAAGAAACACTGAACAGGCTGGCTAGCGCTAAATTAGCCCTCTAACGTTAGTGTGTGACCGTTGCTGCACTATCGTGGTTATTAAGCAAAGTCAGGTGGCTTGTAACCATGTACTCACTGTGGTATAAATGATGAAGTCGCTGTATTGTCTTCGGTGTGGCTGACTGTGCTGCTAGCTTCTCCACCAGCTGCTTGCCTGGCTTTAACAACTTGCTGAGACTAGCAAGCTAGCTTAACGCTCCACCGGCATAAAAAGGGATTTCTTTCGTCTTAATTTCCCCCCTCTGGGCTGGTTTACCAAAAAATAAAAAATAAAAGAATTAAAACCGTACCACGTAAAAAAAAATAAATAAATGTGGTTATTTGTTCTCCTCTTCCTGGAGTTGTGAGTTACAAACGCTCACCGTAAGACAACATATTCACGGTGTTGTATTTTAAATGACAGGCTGTCCGCGGTGCGCTGTCCTTTGTTGTGAGCATCTCAACGTAAACACAGAGCTGATCTGTTCTGCCCGTTCTCTGCCTGTGAGCGTACGCTGTAGGAGGAGACCCACGTCGCCGCAAAGCATTCTGGAACCTGTAGTGTTACCTGCTGCCAGCCAGGGCGCTCAAGTGCAGGTGTTTTTCATACAAGTATTCAGCAATAACCGGTGGTGGAATGTAACTAAGTACATATACTGAAGTACTGTGAGGGTATAGGTACTTTATTGGACTCTTTTACTTCACTTCACTATAATTATTTGACAGCTTTAGATACTAGTTACATAACAAACAAAACATAAAAGAAAAAATATTTCATGGTTCCAGCTTCACAAATGTGAGGATTTGCTGGTTTTCTATCCAATTTTAATGTACTTTATAATATTGTGGAGGTTTGACAAACATTGTCAAAGTGCCCCTTTGAGCTCTGGGTAATTGTGTAGGCTTATGTGAATTTACCACAGGTATCAGAGAGATGTGAAGTCAGAAGTACACCACATCCTCCTGAAATTAAAGCTATAGTACTACTGTTTACTTTCTACTTTACCTTTCTGCTGCTGTAGTACTTGGTTCAACAATTTACGGCATATTACTGATAGCTGTCATATCCTGTTGTTTTAATAAGTAAATGTAGTAATACTACACTGTAAAAATACTCTTTTAAAAGTAAGAATTTTACATTACTAAGTAAAGTAAAGTAGCAGATGAGCAGTAAAGTAAGAATATTCACTTGCTCCCTGTGAATATTTTCCCTAATAAGTGTTGTGATGTATTACTGTGTCAGGAATATCTTATACTGCGTATACGATACTAGTTTATACTGTAGTATACAGTAAACTATAGTTTGTCTGTGTTATCACCTTATTGTGCATTTTTTATACATCACAAAGTAACTAGTCACTACAGCTGTCAGATACATGCAGTGAACCGGAAAGTACAATATTTCTAAAAGAGTAAAAGTATAGACTAAAATTATAACGTCTTACAAAACTTTATAGGGTCAGAGCTTCAAATCTTAAGGCCTCAATAGTTAAGAACTGTGGGTGAAATCAATGATCACATCTGTCAACCACAAAGGGTTTTGATTTTACATACAGCAGCCAGAAACATGAACTCACCTTGAACACAGGCGTGACCTTCTGCAGCTCCTCTGCCTGATTGCCTCCACACTGAACTTTGATGTGAATCCACAGACATGCGTGACTCTCCCTCATATGGCCTTTCATGCTGGCTTTCATTCAAAAAACCCGACATACCATGAGTGCTTACATTCTAGCCTGGGTGGACCCAACTGGGGTAAACTTAGAGTTGGGTCTGTCCGTGTTGCTGCCACCTCCATCTTTATTTATTTATGTCCAGAATGTTACATGCCTTCTTTCTGCTGTGAATATATGGCTGCTTTCTTAGAAATAATCATTTAGTCTGCTTTATAGTGCTTTATCAGGTACTAAATGTTTAATTTTTATCTAAAATAATGCATATACAGTACCCGGACTCCAGCAGCATACAGCACATAATGGGGATTTATTCAAAAGATCTAGGGACGTCAGCATGTTTATGTTAAAATCCTATTGCAAATTTCAGCAACCCAGCAGTCTACGTGAGGAAGGACATTATTTATAGTTTTCTGAACTGCTTGTATGACTGTTTTATTTGGTACACAACTAGAAGGTCATCAGAGACTCCATATCAATGCAACTCAGTCCTCTAAATTATATTGTTAATAGACTCTTTGGAATTTTTAAATCTGCATTAAGGTATGATAAATACATATACTGAAAGACAAACATGGGATGGATGTGGCTGAGTTCTTTTTAAAAATATCCAGTCTCTTGATGTTAGGAAATCTTTAAAAATGTCCTAAATCCACACCTGCATTCAGATCTTTGCCAATAACTAATCACATGTGTTCGACCTATTGCCCTAATGTTCCACCAGATTTCATTTAAACTGTTTTTCTAGTTCTTGAAATAGCCTTGAGATAGCAGGACAAAACACAACAAACCACAAGAATTTCATTCTGTTCAAGATCCAACAATCAGATTCTTGACTTGCACTTGTCTGCAGATGGAACACACAAACCAAGAGTAATAAACAATTTAAATCCATACTTCTATTAGACACACTGTTGTAGCCTTTGGTTGAGGTATATATAACACTTGGTTAATGACCTTGGTTTGATCACAGCTGAACTGTGTAGCCTTGTTGCATGTTTCACTGCCACTGCCCTACAAGGAACTTTCACTTTGTGTTGATTCTGGCAGCCCCTGTGGACAAAAGCAAATGGTTTCTACTGCCTATTTAATTCATTTGATGGGGAATTGGACCCAATCCGACCAGGTGGCAGAAACAAAGAATAACTATATAGAAATAGCCTATCTTCTTGCTGATGTTTGTTCATGTATGTAATATAGAGGCATGAGTATCATGAGTATCAACAAAAAATGATAAAAGCATATTATTTTGCCATCTCAGTGTATATGCAGTAATTCTAATATACTGAATGTAGACTGTTGAGGCCAAATACAGTGAGATCAGATTAGATGACTTTATTGATTCCCAGAGAGAAAACCAGTTTAGTGGCCCATGCACAGTGACTCAGACAGGTTACAGCAGGCAACATATGAAAGATGTACACATGTTAAGGGCAGTTACACATGCATATATTCCAGAATGAAATTTGTGCATTTTATAATCCCACATAGCTAATACATTTGAAAATAATGTACTAGTATTTGATACAATTGAATCAATTAAAGGTCCAGTGTGTAGGGTAAGTGGCAACTAGTGGAGAAGCTGTAGTTTGCATCAAACTGAACACCGTTTGTGTCTGTATTTGTCAATCTGGGAATAAGAATGGGCTGTGAAGTGTTTAGGAGAAACTACACTGGTCAAAAAACACGCAAAAAACATGAGAGGCCTTATCTACAGTCGGTGTTTGGTTTGTTGATTCTGTGCTACTGTAGAAACATGGCGGTTTAACATGGATGGAAACAGAACAATTCCTATATTCAGGTCACTATACACTATTAAAATCATACCTATAAATATTATATTACATTTCTGCCAATAGAGCCTCCTAAATGTTACACAGTGGACCTTTAAAGAATGAAAGACGATTAATGATGCATCTGATTAAACAACATAAAAAACTTAAAAATGAACAACTGCTACAACAATAAAGCACAATAAAAGAAGCAAGTGTCAAATGTCATTAAGAAGTTTCACAGCTGTGGGCACAAAAGACCTAAATCCTTCATATTAAATTACTTTAACTTGAGAAGTGAATCCCAGATGTGCGGCAAACAACATCATTACTCTACAGTTCCAGCTGTGTGTATATGATTCCTAGAAAGTTCAAGTTTCACCAGAAGACCTCCAGTTTGTGTCTGTGTGTGTGTGTGTGTGTGTGTGTGTGTGTGTGTGTGTGTGTGTGTGTGTGTGTGTGTGTGTGTGTGTGTGTGTGTGTGTGTGATATATTTATATTTGGTTTGAGGGAGAGACAACTCCTTCAATGTGAGAATAGGTGGAAAAATCAGGTAAGGCCAAGAACTGATTAAATAAAAAATAATTTCCCTCCTGGTAATCACACACACACACACACACACACAAACACACACACACACACACACACACACACACACACGCACATACACGCACATACAAATGCACACAGTGTCAGACTTATTTTTATACTGCTGAGACGCTGTAAAACACACACTTACGTTTGCTAATAAAATACATGCCTGCTGCTATACTGGACGCCAGAAGTGAGTAGTGGGCGTTGCAAGTTGAAGTGTTTTTCAACGAGCTGCAGACACTGAAAGAGGACTCTGCCTTTAAGACTTTAGGAGACATAAGAAACCATGTGTGCCTGCACATATGCACTCACGCACACTTCCATGCACACACCTTACATAATGCTTGCACACATTTTAATCTGTGTTTGAACCCTCCTGTTTACATTGCTATGGTTACAACAACAACACCTCCCAAGGCAGACACACCTTCCTTTGATTCGATGGGTAAAGGCGCTGCAGCCAGTTCACTTCACTCCTGATGGATGTTTTGACAAGTGCTTCTCTTTCCAAGAGCCAATGAGCTGCACTTCTGTGTGAAGCGTCAGGAAATTATGAAAAATGTAGAGAAACACACACGTCCGTGTGGTCTGATTACAACCTTCAGGTGGATCCAACCCGGACATTGTACGAAGCATTGCTCAAGTGCAAAGTATTCTCTTGCAAGTTTATTCTTTAACTTTTAACCTTCATGGTACTTCTTATAAGCACTTACTTAAAAGAAGAGTACATGCACAAGTGCTACAAGAAGACTGTTTTTATGTGCTTTATGTTTTTTTCCACATGCAACAGATAGATTCCCACCAGTGAAGGTAATGTAATAATTAACTAATATTATATGCAAAAAAATAAAAAATTCAAGGTGCTTACAATAATATAACATTTTAAAAACAAGAATTACCAAACACCTAAAATGTGAGACACAAGTGAAGATACATTATGACAAAAGTGAATAACAGTAGTTAACACAATAATACAAGCAGGAACATTTTTTAAACAGCATTCAACAAAGTTTAAAAATGTTGAGGATCATGTGTGACAAGTTTTGACCCCTATCTGTAATCAGATTACAAGACAATCTCAAAGAGCTGTAGAGGAGCGTAGGCTGCAGTTCAGCTGGCTGAAGTCTGCAGTTAAGATGCATATGATCATTAAAATATTCAACTCTCCATAGTTTGTAACCATAGTTTTAGAAATGTAGTCTCTACAGCCTGTGTTTGAGTTAAAACTCTACTGCTGCATTCTGATTGAAGTGGAGATAAAAAGTCTTGATGTGTCTTAAAAGAGTAATAGATTAATAATAATACGTTTTCATAGCTTATTATTAACATTTATAGTTTAAGCTTCTGGCAGACAATCTATTGTGACTGAGCACGTAATTGCAGCCTGACAGGATGCAGGACTGCTACTGAATGTTTTGACAGAGATTGAACTATGTCCTCATTTTATGAGGATATTTGTTTA